TCCGACTAGCCTTTACCTCGTCCAACTAGCCTTTACCTCGTCCGACTTGCTTTTGTCTCGTCCAACTAGCCTTTACCTTGTCTAAATACTTTACCTAGTTTATTAGTCTTTACCTCATCCAACTAGTCTTTACCAAGCCCAACTAGCCTTTAGCTCACCCAATTAGCCTTTACCTCGTTCAATTAGTCTTTACCTCTTTCAACTAGTCTTTAACTCGTCTATCTAGCTTTTAACTCATCAAACTAGTCTTTAATTTATCTATTTATCTTTTAGCCTATTTTTTAATTTTTACAAAGTCAGTTTCAGCTTCTGTAACATTTAATCAGTCAGTCAGTGTTCACAATGTATTTTACAAAAAACGCTTTGTTTCTAGTTTGATATACAGTATTTTAACCCATCAGGTATAAAGTCCCTCCCACATCTGTCTCTACTCTTTCACAGTTAAAGGGGCCAGGTAGTTCCGCCCCCTCACCTCCTCTCGGTGGACCTCCTCCTCTCGGCGGTCTTCCGCGACCTCCAGATTCCCAACCTCGGCCCATTTCCTCTGCACCATCAAAGCCCTCCTCCTGACCTCCAAACTCATCAGTGTAGCTCCGCCCCCCAGGTCTACCGGGCCCACCTCCTCGAAACCTACAAGAGTTCAAATCAAGTCAGAACAAACTCCAGAAAAACTTCCCAACTGCAAACCTTAAGGTCTCACCTGTCCTCCCGCCGTCCTCTGAAATCCCTCCCACTGAAGCGCTCATCGGGGCCCCAGTTTCCTCCGACCCCTCTGTGACCTCCCCCTTGGAATCCTGGACTAGGTCCTGGTCTCCAGCCATCCTCTTCTCGGGCATGGAAGTCCTGTCCCCCTTCAAAGTCTTGCGGGCCACGTCGTCCTTGCTGGTTGTCTCCCCAGTAAGAGCCTGAACCCTGGTCAGGTCCTCCAATACCACCAGGACCCTGCCGGTCAGGAGGACCCAAGTGGTGGTTGGGTGGTGGCCCCCGAGGGTCTGATGAAAACGAATCAAGACTAATTAAATACTTTGAAAACAAACTTCTGAGGCCCCTGAAGGGCCACAAAAGACAGATCAAGAAACAATACAGCAGGACATTGAACTGACCTTTGTTGTTGGGCCCCTGTGGGCCCATCCCATGCATCATGGGCCCCGAGTTCTGACCCTGCAGAGACCAGAACAGACTTAGTACACCTGAAACCATGAGGCTAAACCTGATCCTAAACCAGATCACTCCAACCCACCTGGTGCTGCATGTACGTTGGCCCCTGCATGTTACCCGGGGGTCCCAGCATCCCACTAGGGGGCCCATGCATCCCTCCAGGGGACCCCTGCATGTTGCCCACCCTGTAGTTGTTGGGCACGTTGCTGTGTGTCCGTGGTGGGGGCCCCATTACTCCACCCTGCATTGGGTCCTGGGGCCCCATCATGTTTCCTTGAGGTGGCATCATTCCACCCTGTGGGGGTGGTCCTTGAGGGTCCCTTGGACCCATTCCTCGAGGAGGGGGGCCCATCATCCCCCCAGGGGGCCCCTGCATCCCTCTGGGTCCCATACCATGAGGACCCTGAGGGCCCATGTTTCTTGGGGGGCCAGGATGTCTCTGTGATTCTTGCATGTCTGAAGGTCCCATCATGCCCTGATGGGGTCCCTGATGAGGTGGGGGTCCAGAGGGGGGCCCCATTTGTCCAGGGTGCATGAAAGATGTCTGCATCCCTCCAGGGCCCATAGGAGGCCCCATGTTGGACATCTGCTGAGGAGGCATGTTTGGAGGAAACCCCTGTGAGCCAGGAGGCCCAGGACCACCAGGACCCCCGGGGCCCTGGAATGAAGGCATGGAGCCAGGTCCCTGTGGGGGCCCCATGTTCCCGTCTGAGTTCATCTGGTTCATCTTCATCTGCTGAGAATAAACAGAACCTGGTAAGTGCCACTGGATTAAATGCTGGCATTACAAAAGAAGAAAATTAATGTTTTTTGTTGTTGTTTACCTCCAGCAGCTGGGGGTTAGTGTGTTGTTGTTTACCTCTAGCAGCTGGGGGTTGGTGTGTTGTTGGTGTGTTGTTTGTTGTTGTTGTTTACCTCCAGCAGCTGGGGGTTGGTGTGTTGTTTGCTGTTGTTGTTTACCTCCAGCAGCTGGGGGTTGGTGTGTTGTTGTTTACCTCCAGCTGCTGGGGGTTGGTGTGTTGTTGTTT